TCATTAATCAACTTGCACCAGACACAGAATTGATCCTTTGATCTTCCAGGGAAGTGGCTTGGAAACATCCTTGTAAAAAATGATTTTTGGTCTTCGAAAATGACAGCATGACAAATATTGTTTGACTAGCCAGCAGGCATCTGCACATTTCCAAACTGAGATACCGATTTCTTCTTGATATAGAGACTGCCATTACTAATCCACGTCAGGCTTTGTAAAGCAGTTGCTTTGACACTTAGATTTTTCCTTGCTTTTCATTTAGTTTATAAATTAAAATTTAAAAAAAATATTTTCCTACAAATTGGCAACTTTACTGAAATTGAGAGTTGTAACCTAATGACTTTTAAATTTTAAGAAGTAGTCCTAGTTAAATAAATAGAACAGTACTAGTAGCTATGGTGATATATTCACTGGAGTGATCAGAATCTTAGTTTTGTGAACTGTTACTCAACCAATTTCACATCAGAGAACACATTTAGTTTTAATGCGATATTGCTACTCTGTCATTTCTACAAATATTTTCATGGTAACTGTTCTGATGAGATTTTTCCTTAGTGCCTCAACTGCAGGAATTTAAGCGTGCTACTAGGCTGGCAACTAGGTCTCACCATTTTACTGTTGAACTAGCTAGATGCAACCATCTCTTCTATTGTAACAATTTCTTTTCTTGCGCTTCTCACCTGTGGAAATCTCTTCCAATTTCTTGCTCCCCTGCCATCTAGAATCTTCAAAAGTTTAAATGCAATATCAAGTGCCATTGTCTGTCTTCCTGAATTTTGTTACTTTATTGTTCTTCTCTCACTTTTTTTCACTAAATTCTTCTCATTCTCTTTCACTCCATGTAACACCTAGCAACCTAGTGGCATTATCACCTTGTTTGAGGTGAAATGATTAAAAAAAAAGATAGTTATATTTTTAATTCAGTATTCTTTTGATACATTTGAATTTAAAAGATCCAAGATAGTTTGGGAGATTAAACATTTTAGTGGAAATATATTAATTAATATATGATATTTTTTGTCATGTTGGTACCATGGTTAGTTCAGAAAAAAGATGACAATAACTATCAGCAATTTTTCTCCCATAAAATATTATTAGGCTGTTACATAAATTCATATATTTTTTTTTATACTTATTATTTAATGCTCTAATGAATCATTCAACAATGTATTCCCCTTCATTGTTTACAACTTCCTACCAATGATTTACTAATTTTTCAATGATTTGACAATAGAAATCTCTAGATTTTAACTTAAAAATTCATCAAGCCACATTTTAAGCTCCATATCATTGTTGAACAAAACACCCCTCAAATTGTTAGAAAGTGACTTAAAAAAGTGTTAGTCTGAAGCAGCTAAATCAGGGAAATATGGTGGGTGTGGCAAAACTTCGCTACCAAACTTGCATGTTTGCTCATGTTAGCAACTGGGGGCGGGCATTGTCATGTTGAATAATCACATTATATTGCCAGTCAAGTCTTTTAAGCTGAATTGCATTTTTGAGCCTATTCATTTGTTCAACATGCAGTTTAACATTAACCATTTGATTATTTTGAAGCATTTCATATAATTCTGTCAGTAATGAAGTCATCTTTCTACACAGCACAAATGTCTTGAACTGCATTGGCAGTTTTGTAACCTTGATTAAAGGCAAAGAGAAGATGATGCCGAACATGCTCATTTTTGTCTAATTGGGAATTTCAAATCTGAAATAAAATTTCAATAACATTAGACAAAAGTTTCACAGGATGACCATAGTAACTAAAAAACAAAAAAAATGCTATCAAAGATTATTCTCCAAGATTATTTGCAGAACATCAGAAAAAAATAACAAAAAACAAATGAATATATGTAATAACCTAATACTTCTCATTTATCAAAATGTTCATAGATTTGAATGAAAGCTGCCTGTTACCTAACTCAGATTTGAAATTTAACTAAAACTAGTCTTGTTTTTATAGTCTGCAAAATAGTATTAAATATATATTTCTTACAAGTATTGGATTTTACTTTGAGTATAAATCTTAAATAGGTATCTTACAGAATTCTTTAATTACACATCGATTTTATTAGTATAATTATTACTGATATAGGCACAGCTTTATCTGAAGGCTTGATTGATTTGTCTGTTTAATAGCATATCATCTCTTTACGGGTCATTTAATGCCAAAATTTAATTTTCTTGGGGACTTGGAAGTAATTAAAATACAACATAAATTGCTATGCTTTCACTATTGAATAAATGGTTGATGATACTTAGCTTTCGTGTATATACATGTTTCTGTAGACTTAATTACTAGAAGTGGTGATGTGTATTTTATGTTGTGGTTTTGTTGAAGTTATATTTTGGAATTTCAGTGTGATTTAGGAAATTGTAGGATATTATATGGATTAATGTCATGAAAGTTCTTTTATGTTGGTTGTTTGGTAGTATTTTAAATGGATTTGGGGGAAGTCAATACAATTTGTTAGTATGTGTGTATTCTTGGTAATTTTTTATATAAAAATATATTGCTGGTATTTTTACTATAAAAATGTATTTTTATACTTTCATAGTATTTTTTTTTGTTTGAGTTGGAGGGGTCACTATTTACCCATAGCTGGGACCCTAACAGGTGCTACCACTCCGGGTCAGGGTGGATCTGGAAACAATAGCAAATAAGAGGTGGTTCCATGCTCCTCAAAACCTCCAATCTCCTGATCAGAGGCCTTGGTGCCAGATGTAGTTTATTGTTATATGCAGGACTTTTAACTGAAGGATAAGATTTGTCTAATCTAACAAATCTCTGACAACATATCCATTGAATAATTTTGCTGTCAAGGTTTGGCTGCCAGTTCAGTGTATACAATTTTTAAAAATAAAAGAATGTTATAAAGGAGGTTTATATTCACTGATATTTACTAAAACCAAAATTAGAACTGATTGCTAAAACAATTGTTAAAACAATATGAACAATACTTCAGTATTTTGCCCAAAGACACAATGTCACATGATTATTATTATTCTATTGCTATTTTCATAGCAAATGTTGAGATGAACTCCATTCTTTAGTTGTACCAGTTCAGACATTTGCAGGTAGGGCATGAGATGTCCATGGAGTCAAATCATTTCCTTCATATTCCAATTTTAAGGAGAAAGTCATACTCGGACAGCTTTCTCTCAAGAACTGATACTTTGTGAAACAGAACCCCACATGGATGCATCTATGAAAACTAAAATGTTGACCTCTTCAAGGGTCACTTGTTATCTATCTTCTTTATCCTCACTTCTGACCAGCTCTTCTTTGATTCGTATTCAACACCTCTTTTAATAACCCATGACATTGAGTTGCTTTCAAGTATTGTAATGAGTGAATATTAGTATTACAAAAAACTGAAATTTAAATAACTGTAGAAATCCAATCTACTTTTTTTTGGAGTGTCAGTTATACCTAATACTCTCAGCCAGCAATGGAACATGCTTGTCAATGAGTTTTATCTTTGCAGTTTTATCAAAAAATGTAAGGCAATATGGCAAATATTTTTGATGTTTTAAGTAGTTGCATTGTATAGACTGGCACCTGAATGAAGTAATCAGTATAAAACTGTACTTGGTGTATAATATATAGCTTTTGGCCATGAGCCAGATAAGTCAGAAGATATTAATAAACTTCAGCAATACTTTAGAACTCTTCATACCAAAATCACAACCACATTCTTAAAGTTAGCCTTTAGATGCTGCTAGCTGTCAATTAGATTGCTTGTCCTGATCTGTGATGAAGCTGAAATTGCTTTCCTTGTTTTGCTGTTTGAATTAAAAGAAGTCTGGGGAACAAAGGAAAAAAGAAATGATGGGATTTTAGCTCCAAAACCCAAATCCACCACTAAATTCTTCTGACATATATTTTATACCTTTATTTTGACTTTCATTTTTCTTGACAGAATCATGCAAATAAAATAACAATATACACTTGTTGGAAGAAAGCAATAAACTCCAATAAAATCTGGCTTATGGCAGTTTAAACAATCTCTCTCAAAATAATGAATTATTTAGAAACTTTGAATAATAAAGTAATTCAGCAAATTACCAAGCAGTATTTTTTTCCAAGAGAAAGGATTAATATGCAAATGTTTAGTGTTGTATAGATGGTTCAAAGTTAGTACAATTAATACCAAGAATGTTTAATTTTTTTAAAATTAAATTAATTATTATAAATTCATTACAATAAGTTTCTTTTAATTTTTAAAAACAGAAAAGTGATGTTAAAAGAGAAAAAAAACTCTTCATTTAGCACTCTCAACTGTAATATCTAAAAGTGTATAAATTAAACATAGAACTTTATATTTTCACTTTCTCTTAATTAAAATTTAATGAAACGTACATTACAAAATATTTTAATACTGAAGTAAAAATGCGGTTATTTTTTTTTATAACATAAATTGCATGGAACTGCAATTTTTTCATTTATAAATTAGAAGAAAAAAGCTAAACCATATAAATAATATTTATAGCATAAAGCAGAGTTTGTTTTCTCTGATTTTAGAGTTACTGTATTTGCTGTCCTACATGATGTATTGTTTGCTAGGGTAGTCATGGGACTACTGCTCACTGCAAATCTGGAAACACTCACATCTATTTAAAGATTTAGTATTGGATTGATTGATTGACTGATTTGGTTTTTTTTCAGCTTTTCTCATATTTGTTCATCCATTTTTAAAATATCCAAGTGGAGAATATAAATATCCTTAATATTTTGTGCATATTGATTGATTGATTGGTTTTTTATGGCTTATCAACCTTTTGCAGATTATTTAAAGCTAGAAAATAATTTTAGATTGTAAGAATATTTTGAACATAATAATTGTTTATCGATACAAGTCCTACTAATTAAACCATACCTGGGGAGAGAAGAGGTGGATTCATATATTTTCCAAGGTTACTTTCACATGGGAATATAATGAACCTAAATTGAATTGGAACTTGACTCTTTGATCATCTGTTACACTACCTGCATATTCAAGCTTACAGTAACTGATGTTCCCAAGCGGTACACCATCTAGGTACTGACCGAGCTCGGGGTTGCTTAACTGCTGAGATAGTATGAGAACCTGTGTTTCAACATGATATGGCTGTAAGCATCAATGAATTGATGTAAAATACTTGCATAATTTTAAATTTATTGTAATTCTTATACAGCCATGAAAGAAGTAGATTTCCTCCTGAACAGGTTTACACTTTTTGTAAGCATATTATATATTTAGATAATTATAATATGTGCAATCACAATATGATGTCTATGTAAGTATTTTGCTATATTTTCTCTTTTTCTCTAAATATGACAGGCCACTTTATAAAAACAATGAACAGGAAGAAAATTGAAGAAATTATTTTAAAAACAGTTTGTTTTCCTTTCTCTCTTACACTGTTTCTTTTCTCTTAAAGAAATAACAATGGGAATCATTTTTCTTTGATTCTTTCCATTTTTTAAGATTAAAATATGAGAGTTAGAAAATTAATTAAATATCAAATACTGTTATTAACATACCTCCCTCAAAGATGGATAAAACTTAGCCTGTAATTTCTTAATTCATGTCACAGAGAGATTCAGATACAGACAAAATGTCATATTCTGATTTGGTGAGGTGGCTAATGAAGTCTCTATCTAAAATGCAACATTTTCTCTTAACTGCCATTAACATTAGAATCTTAGAGCACATTAAATTAAGTGCAAGAAGTTTCTATATTCTCTAAAATCAAAAATATTAGCCAATGACAGTTTCTTGATCACTAATAAGCTTGAATAAATGTGTTGCTTTTTTTTTACTTAACAAGGCCAATCCTTACAATATTTTTAACATTATTTTCAGATTCAAAAATACATTGAGATTGCTTAAATCAAAAAATGTTAGGGATATCATCAAATAGAGATAAAAAGATGTAAGCTTTTTAAAGTAAGAAAAGAAATAAAATTAAATCTATCATTGTTGGTTATTTAGAAATTAAATCAAACAAAGGCTGTTAGTTTTCCTACAAGTTTATCATGCATTTAATGCTTCTTACAATGTCAGTTTTTACTGAGGCTGTGCTTGCTGATGGTCAGTTTATTTATAAAAACTAAATAAAGACTTTAGTTTCCCAGAAGATTGAATGAGTCAGCATTAATCTGAACAAGTAAAACTCTAGAACTTTTTTTCAAGACAGAATGGCTTTTCTCACTCATCTATTTGTTTTGCTGACAAACTTACATTTGTTGATTTCTACAAAGTGAAAGTGATAGATTTGAACTTTAGGCAAAGATTTGAAATGTCATTTAAATGATCATGAGATGAGTCTGCATTCATTTATTTCCTTTATTTTTTCCTATATATGCTTGGGGAAATGAATTGTATGTAAGCTACTTTTAAGATTTCTGCATCTCTTTTTCCTGGCTATGAAAGCGGATAAGGAAACAGAGTCTGTGGAAATGGATGTGACATTTTCACATAATCACATAGATCTGAAATGTTAGCTTAGCATTCTAATTTACCTCTGTCTAGAAATGTATACTTACTCAAAAAAGTTACTTCAATTTTAAAAAAATTACACTACAGCATTCATTTTAACTAAAGAAATGAACTGTGTTAATACTTATCAGTAGTACTTACAAGAAGTAACCATAATATTTGTTTTAACTTTTAAGATAAGGAATTATTATTAGTAATTAACTGATTTTGTCAGACTAGGATCTTAACTATCAATTGTAAGAAGGCAGAATCTATGGTCATTGTTAGCAAAAGGGACAGCTTATGATGCAAGCTAAAAACTGGAGATGTTAAAATCAAGCAAGTACAGAAATTTATCTGTTCTAGGAATGGAAGCTGTGACAGAAATTTGAAGGTGCATTGAAATAGTAAAAGATGCTTTGCAAAAGATAAACAAAGTATTAAGAAACAGGAAAAAATTGTTAGAAGCAAAGAAAAGAGTTCTGAACTGCTATGTGCTATCAGTCCTCCTATATGGCAGTGAATGCTAGACAATTTTGGTACAGATAAAGAGAAAACATGTGAGTAATGAAGTTCTAAGGGAAATGGAAACAAATAGGACACTTATACTTATAATCAGAAAGAAGTAATTAAAAATTGACACAATGAAGGAAAAGGGCTTTAGAGAATTTGAAACTCAAAGACACATTCATAGCAATATGGACGGAGGTAAACAGTAAGTAACCAAGCTTGTGCAAATGGATGGTAGAACAGAGAATGGGAAGAAAATAACTGCTAAGAGCTACAAACAATGAGGAGTTATGGAGCACTATGATCACCCATATCACATAAACGTCCTAATCTTGATTGTCATGATCACACAGTTTTCGCAATTGTTCTCTCTGAAACTTTTCAGTGTCTGTCACAGATGGTAACCTTCCAGGAATTTTGAACAAAACCCTTTATTCAGTCCCAAGAGTAGATTGTTCTCATTCTGATAGGTATGCAATAAAAAATCAGTTAATTATTCCTAGTTAATTTGTTTTTATCATATTGCTTGTCTCTTCTGCTAAATCTGAGTACTTGAGTATGGTGTATGAGTGTCTTTCAGTTCAGTTTTTATGTTTATGTTTCATATGAGACAACAATCCTGCATGGGATTTGCAAACAAAT